CTCCTCCTCCTCCTCCTCCTCCTCCTCCTCCTCCTCCTCCTCCTCCTCCTCCTCCTCCTCCATCTCCCTCCTCCTCCTCCTCCTCCTCCTCCTCCTCCTCCTCCTCCTCCTCCTCCTCCTCCTCCCGCCTTCTCGGTCCTCGAGGCTCAGGAGCGGGCATTGTGGCCTCTGGGCGTCTTGCCCTCCTCAAAGTTCCTCTGCGGTATGGGACCTCCAGAGACGGCGACGACGGCGACGGCGGCGGCGGCGATGGCGTACACGCCGGCGGCGACGGCGAAGGTGACGGCGACGGCTCCAGAGACGGCGACGGCGGCGACGGCGGCGGCGGCGACCACTTCGTACACGGCGGCGGCGACGGCGATGGCGACGGCGAGGGCTCCAGAGACGGCGACGGCGGCGACGGCGGTTGCGGCGGTTGCGGCGGCCAGAGGAGCCCCGGGAGATCCGCCCGCCGCCCTCCTCGAATGAGTGGGCTCGCGGGAGCGAGGGGGGGGTGGGGGCGCCGCCAGAAGGCCTGCCCACGCGAAGCTCGGGGTCGGGGGGAACAGCTCATGGGGGGGGGCATCGAGCCTGAATCGGCGATACATCGCCGATAGATCCGCGGTAGGCCCCCGATAGCGCATCCGCACGTCGCTGGGCGGGGTGAGCTGAGATGGGCCCGTATGGGCGATGCATGGGCGATCGGGGGAGCCGATGGGCCCCTATGGGCGATGCATGGGCGATCGGGGGTCGGTCGGTGCATCTTCCCCTGAGCCTATCCCCCGAACGAGTGAACGAATCGGCTCCTGAGGTCCCCGCAGGCGCCCGCCTCCGCGGGCTCTGCGGGAACTGCTGTCGTCTGCGGCGGCCGCAGCCTCCGGCCACCGACTCTTCGAGCCTGCGCTGCCGCGGCTGCTGCGAACCAACGAGCGAACGGACGGACGAACGAACGAACAGCATCGCCGCAGAGGGCGACCCAAAGGTGGGCGACGGGCGTGCGCGAGCACGGTGGCCCTACGGTAGAAGGGACCTGGAGAAAATTCAGCACAGGTGCACTCTCACCTCCACGTGAAGGTCACGAGCTAGAGGAACAACAAAAAACGGTACAAACATCGGGAGTCAGAACGAACTTCTTGCATCGGTGCTGGACCCCCTCTCCCTGGCCAAGAGATCACGCGAGGACCTCCGAGAAGTTATATCGGCGCCGTTTTTTGTTTTCGACGAACTCTTCTTCGTGCCTGTCCCATGATGGGCCTGTTTTCCAGCACCATCACCAGAAGTTGGAGGGGGAGAGGGTCCTCCTCCTCCTCCTCCTCCTCCTCCTCCTCCTCCTCCTCCACCTCCTTCCCCCCTCCAACTTGTGGTGGTGGTGGTGGTGGTGGAAAACAGGCCCATCATCCCAGTCGGCGGTAGGTAGAGGCGGCCGGAGGAAGAGTCGGGCGCACGCTGACGTGGATCGGGGACGGCGCCCCAGAAACACGAGGCCAGTGCCGCCTCAGCTGGCGACGGAGCGCGCCGATGCTGCACGGAGATGGGACCCGTCGCAAACCCACGCGCGATGCACCCCCGCAGACTGTCCTGAGCCGAGCCTGCAGGCAGTGCGCAGAATGCCCGCTGATGCACGCGGCACCCCGCGCATGCTTGTGGCGTCACCGGAACATGCAGTGCTGGGGCAAGGCGACTCTGTGGGCGATCTCCTGCTCGAGGAGTGGGAGGACGAGCGAGGCTGGGAGGACGAGCGAGGCTGCGGAGGGGAGGGGGTGGGGAGGACGAGCGAGGCTGGGGAGAACGAGCGGGGCGAGGCTGGGGAGGACGAGCGGGGCTGGGGAGGACGGGCGATGCTCGAGGAGCGAGGGGAGGACGAGCGAGGCTGGGAGGGCCGGGGTGCGCCTCGCACGCGCCCCTCGCCTCGAGCTTGCGGCGCTCCGCCGCCTGGGGCTCCCCCCGCGTTGGGGGGGGGTGTCGTCGCCGTCGGCGTCGGCGACGCCGTCGTTGGCGTCGTTGGAGTCGTCGTCGGCGATGGGGGTTGAGCAGGACGGAGGAAGAAAAAGAGGGAGGAGGAGGAGGAGGAGGAGGAGGAGGAGAGAGCGGAGGGATGAGGGGGGGTAGTAGTATTATCAGTAGCAGTAGTAGTAGTAGTATAGTAGTAGTAGGTGTTTAGTAGTAGTAGTTAGTAGTAGTAGTAGTAGTAGTAGTAGTAGTAGTAGTAGTAGTAGTAGTAGTAGTAGTAGTATAGTAGTAGTAGTAGTAGTAGTTAGGTAGGAGTAGAGTAGTCAGTAGTAGTAGTAGTAGTAGTAGTAGTATAGTAGAGTAGTAGTATGTAGTAGTAGTAGTTAGTAGTCAGTAGTAGTAGTAGTTAGTAGTAGTAGTAGTAGTAGTAGTAGTAGTAGTAGTCAGTAGTAGTAGTAGTAGTAGTAGTCGTAGAGTAGTAGTAGTAAGTAGTAGTAGTAGTAGATAGTAGTAGTAGGAGCTAGATATAGTAGTCGTAGTAGTAGTAGTAAGTCGTAGTAGTCGTAGTAGTAGTAGTAGTAGTAGTAGTAGTAGTAGTAGTAGTAGTAGTATTAGTAGTAGTAGGTAGTTAGTATAGTACGTAGTAGTAGTAGTAGTAGTAAGTAGTAGTAGTAGTAGTAGTAGTAGTAGTAGTAGTGTAGTAGTAGTAGTAGTAGTTGAGTAGTAGTAGGTTAGTAGTAGTAGTAGTAGTAGGTAGTAGTAGTGGTAGTAGTAGTAGAGTAGTTAGTCGTCGTGTAGTAGTATTAGTAGAGTAGTAGTAGTAGTAGTAAAAAGTAGTAGTAGTAGTAGTAGTAGGTAGTAGTAGTAGTTAGTAGTAGTAGTAGTGTAGTAGTAGTAGTAGTAGTAGTAGTAGTAGTAGTAGTAGTAGTAGTAGTAGTAGAGTTAGTAGTTAGTTAGTAGTAGTAATTAGTAGTGTTAGTAGTAGTAGAGTAGTAGTAGTAGTAGTAGTAGTAGTAGTGGTAGTAGTAGTAGTAGTAGTAGTAGTAGTAGTAGCGCACAGTAGTAGTAGATGTAGTTAGTGTAGTAGGAGGAGGAGGGAGGAGGAGGAGGAGGGGGAGAAGACAGTGGAGGAGAAGGGGGGGAGGCAAGGAAGAGAAAAATGGTGGTAGGGGAGGCGGGGAAGAGGGAAAGGGGAGGAGGGGAGGCGCGGGGAGGAGGGGTAGAAGTTAGAGCGGGAGAATGAGGAGGGGAAGGAGGAGGCTGAACGAGGGGAGGGATGAAGAGGGGGAGAGAGCGAGAGAGAGAGAGAGAGTGATATAGAATACATACATACGTACGTACGTACGTACGTACGTGCATACATACATACATACATACATGCATGCATGCATGCATGTATACATACATACATACATGCATACATATATACCTATATACATACATATATATATACATACATACATACATACATACATACATACATACATACATACATACATACATACCTATCTACATGCATACATACCTATCTACATGCATGCATGCATGCATGCATGCATACATACATACATACATACGTACATACATACATACATACCGTAACGTAACATAACATACCATAGTATAACAAACATACATGCATGCATGAATGCATACATACATACATACATACATACATACATACATGCATGCATGCATGCATGCATGCATGCATACATACACAGGTACATACACAGGTACATACACACATACATATGAATATACGTATTTCCCTACCTAGGCTCTGCCTAGAGGGTTCTTACTTTGTTTGCTTAAAGGGGCCGGGCAGTGTAAAACGCCCCGGGTGGTTCCCCCAGTCCCCGCCCCGCGGTTCCCCCAGTTGCGTCCCCTAGGTTCCCTTAGCTTAGCTTAGTTTAGCTTAGCTTACCTTAGCTTAGCTTAGCTCAGCTAAGCTTAGCTTAGCTTAGCATAGCTGAGCGTAGCCTAGCCTAGCTTGGCTTAGCTTAGCATATCTCATATTAGTTTAGCTTAGCCTAGCTTATCTTAGCTGAGCTTAGCTGAGCTGAGCTTAGCTTAGGTTAGCTTATCTCATCTTAGCTTAGCTTAGCTTACCTCATCGTAGCTTAGCTTAGCTTAGCTTAGCTTATCTCATCGTAGCTTAGCTTAGTTTAGTTTAGCTTAGCTTAGCTTGGCCTGGCTTAGCTTAGCTTAGCTTAGCGCAGCGCAGCATAGCGCAGCGCAGCATTAGCACAGCATAGCATAGCATAGCATAGCCAAGCATAGCATAGCATAGCATAGCATGGCTCAGCATAGCATAGCATATCATAGCATAGCATAGCGCGGTTTAGCATAGCATAGCATAGATGCAGGTGCAGATGTAAATGTAGCTGCCGGTGTAGGTGTAGATGTTGTTTTCCTAAATGCTCCAACTCCTAGGTAGGGTCGCACTGGGATAATTATACGTATAGACATACATACATACATACATGAATACATGCATACATACATGCATGCATACATACATACATGCATGCATACATACCTATATATATATATACATACATGCATACATACATATGTACACACATATACATGCATACATGTATACATGCCTGCATACTATATACAAACAGATATGTATGTATACATGCATGCATACATGCATGCATTCATGCATGCATACATATACACATATGCGTATATGCACACATACATACACACATACATGCATGCATGCATGCATGCATGCATGCATACATACATACATACATGCATGCATGCATGCATGCATGCATGCATGCATACATACAGTCTGAGAGAGAACATACAGAGAAGAATCAGGAAGCCTCCCTCCTCACACCCTTCTGCCTCCGCCCTGCTCCTCCTCCTCCGGCTTCCTCCCGCTCCTCCTGCCCTGCCTGCTCCTCGCCCTCAGGCTCGAGCCACGTGCCCTGCGCGGGATCCAGGACCGGGGGGACCAGGGCAGTGCGCAGAGAAAGAGAGGGATGCAGCGAAGAAGGGTATAAGGAGAGGAGGGTGCCTCTCTTGCGCAGGCGCCTCTGGGGCCTGTGGCGGATGCTGGCTTTGTCTGAGGTACTTTGCCTCTGCGCGCCCACGTTGCAGCATGCCCAGTGCGCACCAGCTGAGACTACGAATGCCTTGGAGGCATGGACCTGCAACCTACTGTCGATAACTGATGGTGACAGCCTCAGCTGCACCGAACTGCGTGGGAGGCTCGACATGCAAGAATGGTACCCTAATGTCGCACCCTTGAATCGAGACCCTGGGCAGGTCATGCGCTTGATGAACATGTTTCAAAGTGGTCCGGCAAACGGCGTACACCTGCTTTCCATGTAAACCAAGGTTGCGAAAGCCTTCGCTCTCATCAAGGCCCCGCAGGTCGTTATATCTTACTGGGTGGCGCGCGCGGTGTGGGAAGCTGCCCGCCCGCCCAAATGCTGTGGTGCGATATCCGGAAACACGACGAGAGTGGAATGTGACTTCGATCACTGACAGGAGCGTCAACCGACGCAGATACAGCTTCCGGACGGTGAGAAGCCAGATGCATGAATCCAACCCCTTCTCCACATTCTTATCACGGTCATACATGTCGCCGATTTCCCCTGTATTGTCAGGGCGTCTTGCTGGGTGTCAGAGGTTGCTTGGAAGCATCCCTGTGTGTAGCGTGGGATGACGGTGACAGCTGCGCTGCAACAGCGATGGAAGGCAGTCAAGAAGAAGGCGCTGCAAGACCGAAAGCAATACATCTCAGAAAGCAGAGCAACCTCGGCGTTCTCGAGGCAACGCTGGCGCTCCGACCTGGCCTGCGCGCGCAGAAACCACCAGCAAACAATAGCACAATGAAGTGGCTAACGATTGCTTCGCCGTCACGCCAGGCTTAAGCAAATCTTTACGGGAGTATGTTCACACTCGTGCGACATTCAGGCTTAGCTCTCGGCGCCGTGCAAGCATAATAAAGCAGCTGTCTGACCTAGAATGTCACTCACTATCTCATTACAGACAGAGTGGGCATCACCACTACAGAGGCACTGGTGCACACCGCGACATCGAATGCTGCAAACCTTTGGCCATCTCCCCTAATTTGTTCACTTCTCACCTGCGCTTCAAGCGTGCAACAAAGACGGCAAGTCATCCTACTCCATACAGGCAAAGGCCGTGTGCGAGGATCGACGCAATCAAGCGTTGCACTGGCCAATCCGTGCCACTCCGATTCTCACTGCAAGAGCTCGGCCAGCTGGCAAGGAGCAAGACGGCCAGCGAAACAGCGAGTTGGACCTCCCACTTATCCTGTCTCCTCTCGCTGCACTTTGTCCTGAACCTCCCCATACTGAGCATCGATTGACCGATCCCCGTCCCCACTGGCGTGGCCTTGGCCTTGCTTGCCGACTTACCCACCCGAATAGGGATGTATGCCAGTTCCTTCGGGCTTCGCGGGCGATATCCCCACCTAGGGAGGTTGGGCTGGTGGGGCTGAAATGCCATGGCCCTGTGGGGATGGGGATAGGTTGGACTATGCTGGGTTTCTTAGTAAGCGTGGGGGAGACCCCCCCGACGGGGGGATCAACCTTGCCTCGTCGTCGCGCCGCGACGGGGGTCGCAGCGCCTTCGGCGCGCGGTGGCTGCCCGCGACGGGGGTCGATGTGGGGCTGTCGGCGGGGGTGACGCCCCCCCGACGCTTATTAAGAAACTCGGAGTGTGCTGAGTTCCTTTGAGCAGGAGGAAGAAACAAGAACCGTGAGCAGGCAGAGGCGCTGCATGCGTGGCCGGAAGGCCACGGCTGAATACGTATGCCACTATGTCCCGCTCAAGGCACTCAGAGCACGTGGTCGAAAAAACACAAACTTATAGAACATAATGATACAAGGAGCTGCCGTCCTCGCCTCCTTGAGGAGCCTGTCACGCAGACCGATGACCTGGTAGGCACATCGGTCGGATCACGCAAGGAGCCTCTTTCACAACACGTTGCCGCTACCCGCCTGTGGTCGTAGCCATCCTCATCGTAGGTATCGCCACCGTCTTCGGTCTCATGTGCATTCGAAGGATGCTCGTCAACATCTAGCTCCGCGGGAGCTTCTGAGGTCCGCGTGGATTTCTTGGATCGGTACTGGGCCCCCCCTCCACGTCGCGCGGAGCGCGCCGGGGGCGGCGCCGGTGGCGCCGCCAGGTCGGCCCTGCGCCAACCCAATAAATCTGCGCGGACTTCCGAAAGTTCATGTTCATGTGGTGGTGGTGGTGGTGGTGGTGGTGGTGGTGGTGGTGGTGGTGGTGGTGGCGGTGGTGGTGGCGGTGGTGGTTGTGGTGGTGGTGGTGTCAGCGTTAAGAGTGGGTGTCCCACCAGCTGTCTACTACACTACACCTGCAGGAACAGCCCTGCAGCTCATATCATGCACGTCGGATCCTTGCAATGTTCGCACGCATCAGCAGAAGCACGAATCCTAAGGTCCCGTCGGGACGAATTATTTAGTTTGCGTGCCACGCTACGAATCCAGAGAACATGTTTATGTAGAGGGGAAAGGAGAGGGGAGAGGAGAGCAGAGGACACTGGAGAGGGGAGCAGGAGGAGATCGCAACGGGACCTCCCGGCGGCCAGCGGTCTGAGGAACTGTGCCCCGAATTTCCTCTCTGCACTGCCTGCGGCCCCAATTGGCCACCACTTCGGCGGGCCGCCGTGCGTCGAGGCTTCGTCTCTAGGGCCGATGACGCCCGTGCGCAACAACAAGCATACACGATCTAGAAGACCGAAGACGCCCATGCGCAAAAACGAGCATACATGATCTGGGTCACCTAGCGTCGCGCACTGCGCCCCGCGAGGCGCGACGCGCGGTCATCTTCGTGCCTTCGCACCGCCGCATTGGAGAAGGATTGCCAAGCGGCCCAGGCCGCGACGCACGAAGTGCGGTTATCTGCGTGCCTTCTACGGTGACCTACATGATTACGTTTGCAGCCTTTCTTGACATCCAAAATGGCTGCCAAAGACTAACGGGTTCCAGCATCATCCACCCCATGGGCCCAAACAACGCCAAGCAACGCAACGCAGCATAAAGCAACGCAAAGAGCTGTCATGCAGCGCCACGCAACGCCAAGCAATGCCAAGCAACGCCAAGCAATGCAAGGCAATGCCAAGCAACGCCAAGCAACGCCACGCGACGCCAAGCAATCCCAAGCAATCCCAAGCAACGCCAAGCAATGCAAGGCAATGCCAAGCAACGCCAAGCAACACCACGCAACGCATGCAACACCAAGCAGCGCCAAGCAATGCCAAGGAATCCCACCAGCCCTCTGGGCGTAGGTGGTTTAAGGTGTTTCCTCTTCCACCCCCTTTCTTGCCCTTTGGGGAAGGGTTTACCCCTCCCCCTAACCCCTCCACTGGACCTGGACGGCGGGTTTCGCGAGAGGTTGGAGCGTCCAGAACGGCCTCGGTGAGGAAGCCACAATCATTGGCTTCACTATGGTTTTGGCCCAATTTGGGGGCTCCCGAGGGGGGTGCGTAATTAGGGAACCCCCTTATTTGATCGATCTCCTCCAAGATGGCCTCGAGAACGTCCCGAAAGCCTCCCAAGAGCGCTCCAAGAGGGCCCCAAGAGGCGCCCAGACGGCCCCAAGAGGCGCCCAAGAGGCCTCCAAGAGGCCCCCAAGAGGCCCTCAAAAGGCTTCAATGGGATCCCCGAGGTACCCAAGATGCTCCCCAGACGCTCCAAGAGGGCCCCACGAGGCACCCAAGACGCCCAAGAGCCCCCCAAGACCGCCAGGAGGCCCCCAAGACGTTCCAAGAGGCCACCAAGAAGCGCCCAAGCGATATCCCAAGAGGCTCCAAGAGGCATCCAAGAGACCTCTGGCCCTTTTGCTCGCCCTCCTCCTCCTGCCCCTCCTTCGTCCTACTCCTTCTTTTCCTCTTCCTGCCCCTTCTCCTCCTCCTCCTCCTCCTCCTCCTCCTCCTCCCCATCATCATCATCATCATCATCATCATCATCATCATCGTCATCATCATCATCATCATCATCATCATCATCATCATCATCATCATCATCATCATCATCATCATCATCATCATCATCATCATCATCACCATCATCATCATCATCATCATCATCATCATCATCATCATCATCATCAGCATAATCATCATAATCGTCATCATCATCACCATCATCATCATCACCCTCATCCTCATCATAATCATCATCCCCATCACCATCATCATCATCAGCATCATCATCATCATCCGCATCAGCAGCATCATCATCAGCAGCATCATCACATGTATACTTCTTCTCCCCATTCCCTCATCCGTCAATCCAGTCTCCTTCTTCTCCTCCACCCTCCTTCGCACGGCTCGGCCATCCACATCTTTGCTCCCGCACTTCCCTGATCACCTCAACTCGCTTGGACATCGTCTCTGGATGGGCTGGTGGGGATATTTTTTTCGGTCGCGGCCGCGAGCGAAGAGCGCAGGCGGCGAAAGCACTTGTCCGGGGCTGCGAACACGGCTAACTAGCTGCAGGGCGCAGAACAGGCCGGCCGTGCCAGCTCACATGGCAGCCGCTGGGGCAGCAAGGTGGGGCTGACTGGCCGACGGGCACCCAGGGAATCTCGGGCATCGTGCAGCCCAAGCAAAATGCCAGGGAATTCGGTGTACGCCCTGCGGCGTTGGACCACTCGGTGGAGGCGAGAACGCAGGTAAGCTGCCTGCCCACACCCTTCTCGCCCCTGGTGGCCACGAAGGCAGTGTGAACGATGGTCGAATCGCCAGCGGGGCGCCACGGGCCGAGACCGTGCCAACGGCGTATACCAGCCAGTGAGCTGAGCAAGAACCGAGATGACGGCGCAGACCTGCCTGAACGGCTGGGACGGAGCCAGGATGGAGCTCTGCGTGAGACGGAAGGCTGAACCACTCCGAGGCGACCGCGAGACTCCCGGGGCCCACCAATCCCGAGCACGGACGAGGGCCGGCCCTGTGGAGAGGCCTGTGGGCCCGGCCCATGTCACGCGCCTGTCATAGCGTGTGACTGGTGGGGATACGCGAAGCGTCTAGAACTCCAGGCAACGCCGAGCGACGCCAAGCAATGCGCCCATGCAGTAGGCGGTGTTCCTCCTAGTTGGGGCCGCGCTCCCAATCGAAAGCCGACAAGACCAGACAATCACACGAGGCACTAAGACCGACCGTTATCGATTAGACCAGGCGCGACCAGACCAGGCAGGGCAGTTGTACTACGTCAGCTGACGAGAAAGACGGGTCCACGCCAAAAACGAGCGGCACCAAAGCCGCTGGACGGGGTGAGGACAAACTAAGCAATGGAAATCACGTTTAGATCCCTACCTGACATGCAGAAGGCGTCTGGTGAGAGGTTCCAGCAACGGCCCAGAGGTGCGCGTGGACGCCAAGCGGACGGACTGCACACGCGCAAGAAGCCGACTCACGGGGGCACAAGGCTGCCATAGCCATAGCAGGGGGGGCTACCACACTTCGACTTCAGGTGCGCAAGGGAGCAAGCTGTGAACTCTCAACAGGGATCACCGGCAAAAACGCGCAAAGCGCCCTCGCTTATGAGTATTAGTTCTCACGCGCTACGCTCCGCATGTAGCAACTCCGAGTTGACTGCTCCTCGTCATCGCCACACATGCCATCTCGTCTCTAATTACCCGGAACTGTTACTCCTCGCTGCATAACATGCCCGCAGTCCATCCTGCCTGAGGTGATCGCACAAAGATGAGGCATTTCCCTGCACCATAAGTCAAACCAGAGCTCGAGCCCAATCGTCCTACTACTGATTTACCACTTGCATCCTCCTCCGCCGGTTATCCCTCCTGCTCCTCCTCCTCGTCCTCCTCCTCCTCCTCCTACTCCCTCCTCCTCCTTCACCTCCTCACAATCCTCATCATCATCATCATCATCATCATCATCAGCATCATCATCATCATCGTCATCATCATCATCATCACCACCACCATCACCACCACCATCATCATCATCATCATCATCACCATCATCAGCATCAGCATAATCAGCATCATCGTCGCCGTCGCCGACGTCATCAGCAGCAGCATCAGCATCATCATCACCAGCATCATCGTCGCCGTCGACGAAGTCACCAGCATCATCATCAGCAGCATCAGCATCAGCATCAGCAGCATCATCATCACCACCACCACCCTCATCCTCATCCTCATCCTCATCATCCTCATCCTCATCCTCATTCTCATCCTCATCAGCATCCGCATCATCATCATCATCATCATCATCATCATCATCATCATCAGCAGCATCATCACCGTCAGCATCACTATCACCACCTCCACTACCACCACAAACAACCACATAATCATCATCAACAGCATCATCATGATCAGCAGCATCATCATCATGAGCATCATCAGCATCATCATCAGCAGCATCAGCATCGGCATAATCGTCGTCGTCATTGTCGTCATCATCATTATCCCCACAACCACCCTCATCATCATCATCATCATCATCATCATCATCAGCATCATCATCAACAATAGCATCCTCATCATCACCGTCATCGTCATCAGCATCAGCATCAGCAGCATCAGCATCATCAACATAAGCATCAAATTCATCATCATGATCAGCATCATCATCATCAGCATCATCAGCAGCATTGTCGTCATCAGCAGCATCATCATCATCAGCATCATCGTTCACATCCACATCAGCATCAACATAAGCATCAGCAGCATCAGCATCATCAGCATCATCAGCAGCATCGTCGTCGTCAGCATTCTCCTCCTCATCATCCTCTTTGTCCTCCCGCTCTTCCTCATCCGCCTCGTCATCATCATCATCATCAGCAGGAGCAGAAGCAGCAGCAGCACCAGCATCATCATCATCATCATCATCATCATCATCATCATCATCATCATCATCATCATAGTCGTCCTTCTCTTCATG